GACAGGAAAGGAGAGGGTGGAACTCAATAGGAAGGCGATGAAGAAAGGTAGGGGTGAGAGCATGGTAAGCGTTGGGCACATGGGGAATGGCGGGGGTAGAGGAAGCGACGGTGATACCTTGGATGATGTTGACTAGCGGCAGTCAAGGGTTGAACGGCGAATGGCGGAAAAGGCTGGATTCGGAAGGGGAACGGGAATGGGAGGGAGTGGGGAGGCGAAAGCAGAACGCGAAATCAGGAGAGGTAAGAGATACGGGGAAAGGGAAGGACAAGTGGTGAGGAAGGAACGGATAAGTGAAAGCACTGACGTGCTGCATAGATTTGAACAGTACTGCCGGCGAATGCGTTGCGAATGCGCCGGTGCAGTGGTGGAACCAAACGCGACAAACTTCAATCTCGCAATTTCAGAAACAATATTCTGGTCGCGCAAAGCGTCGCAAAGAGGAATGCTGCGCAAACCCGATTCTGCTGCTGTCGTGATCGCACGTGAGCTCGCCGCTGCATTAATGCCGCAAATTCTAGTAAGTGCACCATTCCGAGCATCTTGCCAGCAGCAGCGCGTCACAAAGCCCGCCATGGTGCACATGCGGCTACATTGGCGAATGAAACCCCAACGCGGCTGCATTTTACTCAGACCTACCGCCTATCCCAAAGCTTTGACGCCCCGCTTTCAAGCTCACCGTTCCGCAGTCATCCCTAGCGGTCATGCTAGGATATGGACATGGAGGAAGCATCTTCAACGGCGAGAGGCGTGAATCGAGACAAGTGGGACAGACCGTGGCTGGCGGAATTCTCGACGTTTTTATGGACCGCTAATGCTGCCAGGCCTTTATGGCATTCCATGTCGCGGTACTCACGATCGTCAGTTGCGAAGTCCTTTTGAAGGTTCGATCAACAATTCAGCGAACTTCAGCGGAATCGAACATAGAGCCAACTTCGAAACACCCTCTCACTCCCTTTGCTCCCTTCATCTCCTTGGGGAACGGTTTCGAACAAACTGTGTTCTACGACCCCCAAGCTGACCTTGAAAGCGACACGTGCGTGGAGTTCGGGTTTCACAAACGGACTAGGGGCGCAATGGATCTGAATAGTCCGTACACAACACTCCCGATCACGCCCAGCACGCGATGGTCTGTCAACTTTGCTTACCAGAACCCTAGAGTGCCACGCCACACGCACCACTAGATTCGATGTCGCCACACTCACGAGCCAGCCATGATGAGCCCAGCGCCCGTACGCATGTGATTTTGCTTGACCAAACCACACCTCACTACTCTGACTGCCGTTACATCTGTCCTATTCATGTCGGCATAACCTGGCAGCATGCTTTGACCTTGCAAATCAAAATACTGGTACAGTAAACAAAGAGCGTGTAGAGTGTCCGCGGCTAACCCTAACGCTGATATCTTTGCACAATGAATCCAGCAGGGCTGGCTACTGCATTGGATTGGACTCACCAAATCCCAAGTGCAACATTCTGAGCGCTTCAGCGACTGCAGCCCCAACGCTGCTGCCATGAACTCACACTTGAAAATTCCTGCTGCATGCATCAATGCTGTCTGTCCATCCAGCGCAGCCGAATCCCTTTCAACCATGCACTGTTCCACTTCCATGCGTCGCATGATCGTTGCTGCTGCCAAACCAGCAGTCAGCCCAGCCCCACGGCTGCCGACGACATGCCCTGCACCGAAAGAAAACGGCCAGAGGCAGAAAACGGGTCGGAACAGTGAAGAGAGGGGGGACGAGGGAGGGGGGGAGGGGAGGCAACGGAAGGAAATGGAGATGTGGAATGGGCTTTGTCTGGGACAAGGGAAAAGACGCGAAAGAGTTAGGCAATGGAAAGGGCATTGGTGGGGTTAGGGGTAGGGATACAGATAGGCGTTGGGTGATGGGGGTGCAGGGGATCACGAGGGGTTAAGGCGTGGTGATATGTGCTGACTTTCAAAAGTTCGCAACGACGGGTGAAAACAGGAGAGAGGCATTAGGAAAAGGGAACTGGAATAAGACTGATACGGGGAACGGGGTAGAGTAGGAACGGGGAGGATAAAGGGACAGAGGGGAGCGGAAGCACAACCAGGAGAATGAAAGCACAGGAAAGAGAACGACACCAGGATACAGGTTCTTGGATTGCAAGAAAACGGGTCAGAACAGAGAAGAGAGACAGGAGAGGGGAGAGATGGGGCGGGGATGGGGTTGGGTTTCGGGAATAGAGATGGGGGACTGAATGGATGTGGGGAAGGGGGAAGGCTGCGGAAGGGAGAGGCAGTGGGGACAGGGGGGGTGGGTTAGTGACGCGGTTTGGGATAGGGATACAGATCAGAGTTGGGCAAAGGGGGGAAGGGAGGGGAGGGGGTGGGTGGGTGGGTGGGGGGAAGGGGGGAAGGGGTGCAGCGGGTGTGCCGATTCCTGCTGAGCTTCAAAATTCCGCGACGATTGGTGGTATAAGGCGAGAGGCGAAAGGGGAATGGAACTGGAATACGACAAAGAAACGGGGGAAACAGGGGAGAGTAGGAACGGGGAGGCGAAAGGGACGGAGAGCAGGAAAACGCAAATCCAGGAGATTAAAAGCACGGGTAACGGAACGACACGAGGATAAGGGGAGCCGATAGGAGAATGCATTGACGAGCTTGCGGCATACCGATTCGAACGTGCTGCCGCGTTGTCGGCGAATGAGCTGCGAATGCGATGATGGAACCAATCCTCGCCGATAGCAGCACCTGCTCCATCGAAACAGGCCATTCCAAGCTGACTGAGGTCTCGCAGTACCGCAGATTGCGACCAGGGCTCAAACTAGACTGTCTGGCCACCAGCAACGTCCGCGGCTGCAAACCCTAACACGTTGGTTTCGCGCATCCATGTGTTCGTGTCGAACTCGTCGCAATCCAATCCCATCAAACACTCGCTCTTACACTCCGTGCCTTGCATGATCGATCGCTGCTTTCAGAACAACCACCGAACCCACGGCTGTCGTGAACGCGCCGTGCATTTCGTCGTCGTGGGTGGAGGTCATGGCAGAGCATGAGGCGACGTGGAATCAGTTGCAAGAGAACCTAGCTGACGCGAGAAATTGGCTTGGAGGAATGCAGAATTTGGCGTTTTCAATATTTCGCAAGGTTGTACAGTAGACGAAATATTGGTAACCAGCGTTGTATTCTACGTCGCAAAGAAGCCAATCGAGAAATTTTCGCAAGGAGTCTTTCGCATTCAACAAAAGTTCATGGTGATAAGATTTTAGGGTTACGCTTGCAAACCTATGCACCCGAGCACTGACCTCGAAGCGACCCCCGCGCTAAATTCGAGGTGGCTTATACCGCGACGATTTGACGAACGAGCCGCCTCGGCGCTGTCACCATCGTCCTTGTGTGCCGCTCCATTCATGCCGTCGTCGCTGACATTCATATCACCCGTCACATGTCATGCCCTGCGTCGTCTGACACGCCATTCATCGCGCAGCGCCTTCACTAAATGGGCGCCACACGCCCGCGTTCAAAGGCAGTCCGCCCAAGCGTCGAGTCTCTCCTCGTCGCCCGACAGCCATTAACACGGCTGGCACGTCAACCATGATGTCATGGCCTCGAAAGTCCCATATGACGCCCCCTCGCGAGAAACGAAGCAGTAACGGGGAAAGGGTCGCAATGCGACACGGTGGACGCAACGCTCGAGTCGAGCTTGCACCGCAGGAAACCGACCGCGAAATATCTCCCTTTCGGAGTCAAGCTCTTTGTCAGTCCCCACCCTTCCGTCACTTTTGCCTGTCACCTGCTCAGCTGTCTCAACCCGCGGTGCTCCACCCACTCCCCTGCCCAGTGCCGCCTTACAAGGCGTGCAGGGCGGCACTTCACGCGCACCAAGAGAGTCCCTGCCGCCGGGCTGAGCTCTCTCGCCACTCCCTCGAGGCCGCATGACGCCACCACCCGCGGAGCAACGCAAGGTCGGTTCGACATGGTTGCATGCAGAAATCTGGATGTGGACGAACGAAGTGCTCTCAATCACCCCACGCTCCCTGCTCCTTGAACAACCAAGCAGCCTTGTGCTACCCCCCTCCCCTCCCCCCCCCCCCCCCCCTCTTTCCCCGTCTCTTCCCTGTATCACCGTTGCTCCCGCCTCTCTTGCCTTTTTACCACACTCACTCTGTTCCCTTCCCTCGTTTTCATCCGAAGCCACCACCCGACGCACAGCTAGTAGTGTTAATGGAGCGAATGGTTGGGTTGGCTGTGGTTGGGACAGGGCTGCTGCTAGCACTCGCCCTCATGCCTCCTACAACAGATTGCTCGGTCAACGATCCACATGAAGTGAGTTGACTTCAGGGGTAGCGTTTGCATGGCCATGGTAGAGATTGTGTGTAGTTGTTTGCTTGCTAATCTCCATGCCTTCCCAATGGCCTCACACATGCACCTGTGCGCTCCAAGTGGCAGCTTCGACTTGGCCCTCACAGCCTGAAAGTGGCATGAACCGAATCGTTTTGATGCATGATGTAGGAGAAATGATGAACTTGCATGAAAGGATGTGTTTCTCTCTCTGTACATTATCTTGTTCCAGTCTCTGTCAAAACCTTCTGTCCATGAAAATCATATGAGGACTTGGGTTTCGTTTAACTGGTGTTGTGTTTCTGTTGTTCTGCTTGTTCTCGAGTGGAACCGACATCGGGTGTTATGTTGCTTGATGCACTGATTGATCCGTTTCTGTGTACAAGCTGTATTTGATTCTTCTGTTTGATCATAGCCGTGTGGCCATCTTATGTCTCTACAACATGGCTCGTCTTCTCATCACGTTCGTGCACTTGCCCTTGCTTGTTGTTGTAACCATCACTTCTTCTTGCATCCATCACCACCCACCATTGTCATGTGTATAATGAACTACTCTACATTGAATGTTCTCTATCGCCCAACTCCAAAGTTGCCCCAACAGTTCAATGGCGCTTTCCTTCAGAGCAACACCTCCCTGCCTTCCTTTCAGCAAGTTGCAACCGTCTCCACCATCCATCAAGCTTCATCTTGAAGCATGGTCCTTGCCCTCTTCCGATCCCTGGTACATGCATCAGTATTTATGTGGTCACACCCTTGCCTTGCTGATTCCTATATATGGCTTTCAAGCAGAAGTTGTTAGCGACGAAGGAAAAATGCGCATGAGGAAAGTAAAGGTGTTTGTTGGCTGAAGAATATTCACGTACTGAACCTTTGTTGTTCCCTTCTCTTTGCCCTCGTCCTTGCCCTGCCAGGTGGGTATGATGTACCACATGGTTTATGCATTGGTGCTGCTCCTCTGGTTCATGGGCATCTCCTTCCCACAACTCACAGCATGGATCCGCCACCATGCCGTGGCTGCACGGACTCACCTGATGGAGTTGGGAAGCTTGATCAGCTGTCAGGTGGTATGACGCATTGAGATACATGAGAAATCCTGCTTCCAGCTCGTACATCTGATTTCTGTCTGGCATTTCATTGCCTCTCCAATTGGGCTCATATGATTAAACAGTCAAATCGGCTGTATAGCATTATCAACTTTACTTCCCAGGTCCAACATCTCTCCTTTCACTCCCTTCCCCCACACCCCCCTCATGTTCTCTCCTGCTGCCAGGCCTTCCTTGTCACAGCAGCTAACTTTCGTTCAGCTGCTCAACAAAACCATGTGAGGATTCTCATTCTGGAAATCTCATGATACTGAATCGCACGCATGTGACCTTATGCGATTTCAGGTGCGATCGTCGTGTTCTCTCATGTACCCTCATGTCCGCTCATCTGCACTCATGTGCTCCCACATGCACGCTGTGTTCTCATGTGCTTTTCTGCGCCTTCACCTTCTGTGATAAAAGCAGATGTGGATTTCGTGGAGTGAGTGACTCTCACCGTGAGGGGTATCATCACCCATCTGACGCACCTGGCACCTCCACGCCTAGTGGGTTCCACTTGTGTTGCAAAGCCCATACATGCACGCCATGCCTCCCTTGTTATTTCCTAAGCCCCGCCCTTCATGCATGTGCAGTGGATTGAACAATCATCCAGATATTCTATCTCCCTTCCATTCCTACTCCTGCTACTCCTGGATACTCTCAGCTTGGAAGTCTCTTCTAAGCAATATGGCTCGGGTGATTGAATTGGTGATGGTGGCGATATGGCTGCTCAATGTTACTCAGACTGATGTAGTGACAATGGTCAGGACAGTTCCTCTTGGCCATTCCTCTATTATCAACAGCAAATACATGGTATGACAATCAATATTGGTATCCCCTTACCTTTTCAAAGCATGGAGTAATGCATCTATGCTGCTCACAACATGGACGCACCTGTGCATGCCTCTTTCTATGCCTCCGTGAGTGCATGTCTATGCTTGAAGTTGCCTGTATCGCTAAAGTCTCCTGATACTGTTCTTTTGTTCCTTTTCCCAGGTTCGGCAGGACCAGTCACCCAATGTCCTCTTTTATGTGCTCTACACTTGGGTGAGTCAACAGAATGGGGGTGTAGTCCAACCCTTTCAGCCGATAAGTGACATGGAGGGCCACATCACATGCCACGTCAGCTGTCTGTTGCCACTGCTTGCCACCTGACCCAGTGCTGCACTTCTCTGAATGCAACTGTCATATAGATTTTTTTGCCCGTTTCTTCCACCAGATCAATCCGTCCTCAGGCTCACATGGTGTATTTGGTTGTGGTCACTCTGACACTACTCCTCTGGTGGATGGGTATTTCCACCTCACAAGTCCAAGCATGGTTGCATCAGCATGCCTTGTTTGCGAAGGCTGGGCTGACGAAGGTGGAAACGTCAGCCGTATCATTCATGGTATTGCACTCTCAACAATCCTTGCTATCGCATCCCTCTCTCACCTTGCTCAACCGTTCCTCTTGCCATCAGTCTGGTGTTTTTGTCATGTCATAATGCTCACCGGTCATCGTATCCCTTCTTCCGTCTCTCCCTTCTTTCCAGTCGATGGTGACAGGGGAAGCATTGAAAAGGGAATTGGCAGATGGGAAAAGTCAGCTAGCAGCAACACAGACAGCGGTGGCTGAATTCAGGGACCTTGGCTTGAAGCTGGAAGAGTCGCTCAAGCAAAGTGGGCAGGATAGCAAACGCACATGGGAAGCATTGAACAGGGAAGTGGCAGATGTGAAGAGTGAGTTAGCAACAGCAAAGACAAAGGTGGCTAAACAGACGGAGCGCACATTGAAGCTTGAGAAGGATCTCGAGCAGTGTGGGGAGGAAAGCAAACACACATGGGAGGTGAGTAACTGTACACCTGTACGCCAGCCACGGGTGCAACCAGTCAAGCATGCTACTGTACCTGGCTGTTTGAAGCGAAACTTGAAACTCTTCGAATCTCCACAATCTTGTTCTACCTTTTCCAGGCGATATTGTCAGCATGGAGTGGAGAGGCATCAACCGGGACTACATTGGAGTTGAAGAATCTTTCCAGCATCTCAGACACTGCCCCTCCGCCATGTGTTCCATGACTAGCTTGACATCATTATATCTGGACACATCATCGGGCTTCACTGTAGATGGAGTCAAGCATCTCTACAAGCTGCCACACCTGAAGTGGCTCTGTCTTAGAAGTACAGCGGTTTCTGACGATTATTTGGAAGGAATTGGGGCTGTGAGCAAGCTTGAGACGCTAATTCTCAGCAATACCAAAGTGACAAACGCTGGTCTGGAGCATCTAACAAAGCTCTCACTCAAGTGCCTGGAGCTAAATAACTGCCACGGTGTTACATCTGTCGGTATGGTGCATGTGGGGAGGCTGACAGGCCTTGAAGATCTATTTTTGCAGAGTCCACAGGTGAAAAGTGACGGTTTGCAGCTTTTGTCATCCCTCGGCAATCTGAAGCTGCTCATACTGCCAGATGGAGTTGTTGGAAACAAGTGATTGAAGCGCTTCTGCTGTGTCGAAACATCAAGTCGTAAACGAAGCGAAGCACAAACGAAACATCAGCGAGTCAACCATCGGAGGTTGACAACTGAAGCAACCGCTGGAGGTTACGCGAAGGTCAAAGGTCAGCGACCTTTGACTTGACAAATACAGCGCGACAGCAAGGACAAACAACTGACTCGATACAGAGCAGTTGCCCGAGTCGTCACTGTATCGAACCGCAACAGCAACAGTAAAACAGTTATTAGCTGTATCTCTTCATATTCCTTGTACTCTTATAAAACCTTGTATCTTCTTGTTTTAATCAATCTACTTTGCCCTCACATACCAGCGCAAGGTGGTTCAAGGACTTGTCATTATATGCTTCCGCAATTACAACATTCCTACCCAGAGTTTGGTCCTGCGAAGATCCTAAGGGCTTTTCTCAGCCCAACATGGTATGAGAGCTATCAGGGCAAACTCAACTACTTCCAAGACACCTACAACATCAAAAGGCATGGCAACGCAGAAGGAGAGAAGCTCCTCTAACGGCTCTCCCGGTACTACTCCTACTCCACCTCTTGCCTCTGGCCTACAGACAGAGGAGGGCACGGCAACGAGACCAGCAGCAGGGTCTACTGAAACTCCCGCAAATCAAGCCGCGGGCTTCGACCCAAGCATGATGGAGAAGTTCTTCTCCTTCATGTCCTTCTACGAACAACACCAGCAAGGGGCACCTGTACAGTCAAACATCAGCAACAACAATAACGATGTGACACCGATGAGCCTCGACGGTTCATCCTACGCGCGAGAAAATCAGCAACAGCAGCATACCTTCGCCCCGTACGAACCCCAGCGCGGTTCCGTCAGCTTCATGCCGCGCCAGCAGCCTTCACCTGAGCAAGAGAAGACATTGGATGCACTTCAAGTTCAGTCGCAGTTTGCACACGTCCTAAAACTACAAACGTCAAGGCCATTCGACGGTAAAGATTTCTTTACCTGGTCATTTGAGTTCGAGCTGATGATGGATGGCGCGCAAATCCTTGGATTCTTCGACGGGTCCCTGCCATACCCAACACACGGGACGCAATATGACAAGCGGTAGTACACATATCAGTCCATGATGGCGTACACAATTCTACTGCGCAACATCACACCGAACCAGCAGCAGAACATCCGGTCCTATCAGGGATACGGCAACTCCGCAGAGCTTGCGTACAACCACTTGAAGAACCTGTATCAAGCAACAGACAGCGTCAATCAAAGTCGATTAATGGCACAACCGACAACAGTGGAAATGAAGCCTGACGAAAAGGGAATGGTGTATATCAGCCGTTGTCGCGAATTGCGCGACAAACTTCTTCGATGCGGAGGCTCAATATCTGAAGACGCCTTCGTGACAGTCATCATCGGCGGCCTTAGTCCTCAATGGCGCTCCACCCAAGCCATCCTCCGAGCCCACGGGAAGATCTCCGAAGCAGCACTCTGCGCCGAGATTCACGCTGAGCAGCAAGACATGGATCTGCAAGAGGAGCGACACAAGAAGACAACGTCAGTACCTGAATTTGCATTCCACACTCAACGGCGCTACAACAAAAACAACAACCGGCATCAACAGAAACCAGTACCTTCGTTCTGTCACCTCTGCAAGACGTTTGGCCACCCTCGCATACACTGCCCGAATCGACAGCAGTCAACTCTGCCGCAACGCCAACTTTGTCCTTCAAGTAGTCAAGTGGCGTCCACACAGGCGCACCCCACGAGTCAACTGCAGTCCTCAACGACATTAACAACGCAACCTGCACAAGGAGCAAGAAACATCGTGAGCTGCATGGCAAGACTGTCAGACTCCTGCATCACTAAGTCACCACCGCATTACTCACCAGAAGAACAACTTGACGAAAGCACTTCTCGCCGCGAGACACTGGAGCCAAACCCAACATACGTAGCCATCGTCCAGAGCGAACCGTCCGGGAAAGATACCTGGTTCTTGGATAGTTGCTGCGGACAACACATGTGCTCCTCGGGTCGCTTCATCCAACGAGAACATCAACTCCAACGCGAAGTCGTCATCACCGTCGCCAACAACCAGAACCTGCGCACAAGACGACACAGCGTAGTTCAACTTCAGTCACGGGAGACGAACGTTATACTGCAGATGTCAAAGGTCTTAATCGTGGAGGGACTCGGCTACAAATTACTCAGTGTTAGTCAGCTGATGGCGAAAGGCATTCACCTCGAAGCAGACAGCACCACCCAAGAAATCAAGTTGAACCACGGGATAGGCAGACTCTACATCGGGAAAGCGGTGTTGAAGAACAGCGTCTTCGTCCACGACTTCGTTCCAGACTTAGGCACCGTCGACAGCGACGCCATCGTCAACTTCACTTCTTGGACACACCCGCCGGATCTTGATCCCGACTTCAGTCCGAGCGGCTTCTGGTATTCACATACCATACCTGAAACAGAAAGAACGAGAGCATTAGCAACAATTCAATCGGCAGCAGCAGAGACAACATCGGCAGCAGCAGAGACAACATCGGCAGCAACAGAAACAACATCGGCAGCAGCAGAGACAACATCGGCAGCAGCAGAGACAACATCGGCAGCAGCAGAGACAACACCAACAGCAGCAGAGACAGCATCGGCACCAATCGCGGGTCCTTCAACTGCACCAGCCCCGACCGACGAAGATACTCCACCGACTCCTGCGCAGAAACTGAATCCAACACCACGAGATGTCCATCGAAGCGCAAATTTCACCACAGGCTTCTACTCCAACTCCGACTTATACCGTCGCTCACCCGGACATCGAGCTGGTGAAGACACCTGGCACGCACGAACGGGACACCCAAGCAACGCGACGTCAAATAACACGATAAGAGCAGGCATACTCGACAAAGACTCTCTGATTTTACCCGACGGAAGAGAACTTCAACGAATGCGAGAAACATGCTTCACCTGCCCTGAAGTGGACTTACCGCATCAACCCTTCGTCCCTCACCACAACCCAAGTGCACCGGCATACGCACCTCTGGAGAAAGTCTACAGCGATATACTGTACAATCGCGAGCCCGGTCAAGGAGCGTACAACTACGTCATCACCTTCATCGACGCCGCCACACGATACGTCTGGCACCTCAACCTTCCGAGTCGCGACATGGCCTTCGAAGCCTTCGTCGCCTGGCTTCCACTAGCAGAACGAGAGTCAGGGGTGAAACTGAAAAGTTTTCAGTCAGACGGAGGAGGAGAATACACATCACAGAGGTTCATACAGTACCTGGCGGAGAAAGGATGAACAAGACCCTCCAGAACACCATGCGCAAACTGCTACGTGGCATGCGGCTACCCAACCACCAGTGGCCTGAGGCGATGGACCATGCTGTCCTACTGCACAACTTGCTTTCGTCATCATCGATCCCGAACAACGCATCACCGCACCTGCTGTGGACAGGGAAATTGGGCAACACAAAAATGTTACGAGTGTTCGGCTGCATGGTACAGTACCGACCCCCAGCTGCACGCGCCGGCCGATTCTCCCAACGCGCACAATGGGGACTACACCTGGGCATCGAAAACCATTACAACGCATGGAAGATTTTCGACATCAACACAAAGGAAACAGTGGCAGCACGTGATGTCATCTTCTACGAACGTCTCACCCTTCCAACGTACCTGTACAACCTGGAAACCTCACGGGATGTCACATGCTGATTTCGTGGCTACCGAGCTTTCGCTTCGGCACAAGATGAAGCTGACCTGGACGAACAGACCATGGACGGAGCTTTGGAAGAAGCCGGACCTCTTCCGTACTGCTCGGTGGATATTCCAATGGACGACGACAACCCTCGCGAGAGCATCAACGCCGAAGTCTTCTACGACTTCGCTGACACTGGTTACGTTACACCCGCCCGAGTCAACACCAACGAAGCCGAACGCATAGGACCCAATTTCTTACCTGACTCAGAAGCAGGTGACGAAGCAGCTTATCTCGAGGACACAACACTCCCCCGCTACACACAGAGCGGACTCCAGATACTTGGCCTCGTCACCGCGGTTCACAGCACGGCGATTCCTAAGGAGCCTGCCACAGTTCAGCAGGCTCTGGGGGGGGGGGGGCATAGGGAAAAATGGCGCGAAGCCATGGACAGGGAGCTGTAAGTG